CTCCCAGGTCACAGCACTTATCACTGCTCACCGGAAGTACTTATTTAATAATACTAGATCAAAGGCTTCGAGAGGCAGAGAAAGTATTAAGTCTCATCCCTGATTCTGCTGAATCCAGGCCTGTCCCGGCAGGTACTCAATAAATATGTGTTGAGTGAATGAATAAACCACTTTATCTGAGGATTTAAAGATGGGGATACCTCCAGAGGGGAGGACGGCAGGGAACTGCCCTGAGCAGCTAAAATACAAGGCAGAGCCAACCACAGCACAATTGCATCTATACCCCCACATAGTCACCTACCTGCCTTTGCTTTAATGCCCCCCCAAAATATTTTACCTCTTCCCAATGCCATTCCACCCCTACCTGTAGTTCTTCACACACATTCATTCATTCACCCCTCTCCCAACCACATACTACCAGGCTACCGTCCTCCGGGAGGTCCTGGGTTCGAGCCCCACCAAGTACTGTGATATAACATGAGATGTCAGTAGGACACCCTAGCGACCTTTGCTTACTTTAGAAGACCTCTCCTGTAACAATGTTCGGGTGGAATTGTTTGCAGTCCCAGGAAAGACTCTGATTCTTATCACATCTGTTTATTAAAACTCTAGCTCCTGCCTGGGGCTTTTCTGCCCCTGCTGCTTTCCTAAGCCATTCCTCCTGCCCTCCACTGAAAGCCTGTGACCCAGGCCATATTCACAGTGCCCGCCAAGGTGAGACTTACCTAGTCACATAAATTACATGGTCCTCCCTTGGTAAAGAGCATTCTTTTTTGTTTTGTTTGTCTTGTAAAGCTGGTGATGGAACCCAGGGCCTTATACATGCTACATAATACACTGAGTTATAATACATCTCTGGTCATGACCACTTTCTCTTATAATTTATTTTATGTGCGTTGATGTTTCGTCTGCATGTGTGTAATGGTGTCAGAGTCCCTAGAACTGGAGTTACAGACAGTTGTGAGTGACTATGTGGGTGCTGGGAATTGAACCCAGGTCCTCTGGAAGAGCAGTCAGTGCTCTTAACTGCTGAGCCATCTCTCCAGCCCTGTGACCACATTTTAAAGATGACCTTTGAGAGGCAACGGTCTTGGTTTGCCTGCCTACTTCAGACCAAATGAGTAGAAGGCTAGTGACATGGGAAAGCACCTACCTTGTAGACTGAACTCGGCCAGGCACAGCAGTCACCTCCCCACTCCAGTGAAGCTGGAGCCAATTTGGTGAGCTGGCAGTGCCTGGGAGAGCTGGCAGGCCGAGTCTCCTCTCTGTCTGCCCTCTTTGCTTCCTACTCCTGTCTCCTCTTAGTAAGATGTGCTCAGGAAGGCCTGCTGTTCGCTGCAGAGCCGGATTCCAGGAAGTCCGGGCTGAGCAGGCTCCTGACAGTATTCATTCTCAATTCCTTTTTGCTTCTTAAAGGTCCTTGAACCATAGCTCAGCCCCGTGACCTTCCAGACAGGATCCTGGCCCCGCTTTCTGCATGGTTCCCACCCTCCCCCCATAAATGCACTTCTCCCTTCTTGGGCCTTCTGAGAATCCTAGAAGGTCACTAGTGGAAAGGACCGTGTTGATAGCAAAAGAGGAAACTGAGAAACCGTGGCCCATCTAACTGCTCCCGCCTGCCAGTACCCAGCCTCCAGGAGGGCCTCCATTATTTAGGAGCCAAGTGCTGTAGGACACTCTTCCCTTCCCTGACCTGACCAGCGACGAAATAAAAAGGTCTGGCTGTCCTATAGAAGAGGGTTTGGGGGGTATTGCTGGGAAGTCACAAACCCCAGGATAGGAGAGTGAAAAGCAGAGTGTGTCTCACCCCACCTGCATCGATCTAGGGGCTGCGGAACTTCCTAGAAAGTTGAAGGACTGTCTGGAAAGATTGTCAGACCCAGTGTCTGAGAGCAAAGTGATTCAGGGGAGCAGAGGGAGATCTCATGAAGAGATTCAGGAGGGTTTTCTCAGCTGTGATTTGTCCTGAAGGCATAACGGTGCAGACATACACGTAAGTGCATCCTGGGGATGAGATCCTCATTCTTCTCTCCCTCCCTGAACCATTAGCAAAGAACCTTACCTAGGCAGATGGACTATGTCTGCCCTCTTGCAAAATGTTTATCTATTCCTTTATTCATTTCTTTCTTTAGCAAAGATTTTCAGCGCCTGTGTCAGCCCGCAATGGAGCAACCACCATCAAGGGAGATGTGGCGACTGTCCCCATGGAGTGTGGGATCCAATGGGTATAATTAAAGAATGTCACAACAGAGCGGGAATAGAGTGTCACGTGAGCAGGAGACAGGACTAACAGAAGAAGCAGATGAGAGACCTCGGCTCAGGGAGGAGGTCAAAGCCAATCTAAGCTAGGTGAATTGAAGGATAGCACCTCAGCCTCAGAGAGGTTAATTCTCCAGGGATCACACATCTGGCAAGATCACTCCCCATCTGTATAAATGCACTGGGTTTGAATCCTAGTTTTGCCACTTTCTGGATTAAATGCCCCTGGGTACATTACTGAATTGTTCTCTGTCCCTGTTCCCTCATCTGTAAAACAGAATATAAGAAACCTGCCTGGACTATACAGAATAAACCAAATGTATTAACATAACAGTTCTTTCTGCGTGGTCTTGGGACCCTCTGAAAGTCCCAGAACTCTTTCAAGGGCTCCATGAAGTCAAAATTGTACAAGACACTGAAACGGCATTTTATGGCATCATAAAAATCAAATGTAGGTATCAATCTGGCTGCCTTTGAGTATGTCCATGAAAGAGATCTAGGAAAATGTAAAATGTGCCATTCTTTTCACTAGTTTTTATTTTATAAAATAAAATTAATGGACCAGAGAGATGGCTCAGTAGTTAAGAGCACTGGCTGCTCTTCCAGAGGATCCAGCTATAATTCCCAGCACCCACATGGCAGCTCACAACCATCTGTAACTCCAGTTCCAAGGGATCCAATGTCCTTCTCTGGCCTCCTTGGGGACTGTATACATATGGTGTAGAGACGTCCATGGAAACAAAACTCATTCACATAAACTAAAAATAAAGAAATCTCTTTTCAAAAAGAAAGAAAAGAGGGTGTATGGTAGTACATGCCTATAATCCTAGCACTTGAGAGGTAGAGGCAGGAGGGTCAGAAAATCAAGGCAGACTCAGCTACACAGCAAATTCAAGGCCAGGCCAGGCTACATGAGACCCTGTCACAAAACAAAGACTTTTCCCAAATTACTAAATATTTATTTTTCTAACACCAGATAAAAATCTGTGTCAACAAAAGTTCTTTGGGGTCTTCAACAATTCCGTTGTAAACTAGCAAGTTTGAGAGCCACTAAACCAGCCTTTATAAAATGTTCCCATCAGTGCCAGTAGGTCCTTGGTCACTGTTAGGCACCAGACTTATATGCTCAAAGACTTAACTTTGCTGGGCGTGATGATGCATGTCATCAATGCCTGCTTTTGGAAGACGGAGCAGGAGACAGGAGGCAAGCACTCATATACAGAACACATAAACACTCACATACATAAAACATAAACACTCACATACATAACACATAAACACTCATATGCATAAAATGTTAAAAACAAATCTTTAAAAAGCAAAAAGACACCGGGTGTGAGGGTACATGCCTTTAATCCCAGCACCTGGGAGGCAGAGGCAGTGGGATCTCTGTGAGTTCAAGGCCAGTCTGGTCTACAGAGCAAGTTCCAGGACAGCCAGGTCACACAGAGAAACCCTCTCTCAAAAACAAAACAAAACAAATACAAAAAGCTAAAAGAAGGTTGGGTAGTAGTCGGGCACAGTGACACATGCCTCTAATTCCAGCACTCAGTGGAGACAGGACCAGACTTCACAGCCAGTCTGGGCGACAGGAGGCTTTATCCCAAACAACAAACAGGACAACAGGAAAGGCTGAGGCACACTATAGTAGTCAGGTGCTTGCCTAGTGTGTGCAAAAGCCCAGGTTCAACCTTCGGTACCACCACCAAAATAAAGGAGGTTAGCAGGAGTCAGAGAGAGGCATGAAAGATGGAGTGGACCAAAGGGAGCCTTTTTTCTTGACTTAGGATGGATGCTGTGGAGCCCTGCTAGGAACTTATCGAGTCTTCTCCCCTGAGTATAGCCCCCTGACCAAGCACTGCGTTTCCCGGCTCTACCCTCCTGTGCCCAGAGCCCACCTGATGCATAGCAGTCACTCAGTAAATATTTGTTGATTGCATGGATTAATTAATACACAAAATGAAAGAGCTGTAGGTTCACTGAAACAGTTCTCACACGAGGAAATGCTTGGACATACGTAAGTCTATTAAGAGGGAACCATTAAGTCCTATTTCTGTGGTGCAATGGAAGAATATGCAGCCTGTGACAGTTCTGTGTGTATGCAGAACTCACTGACATGTTAGTGAAGTAAGCAAGGCATAGAGAAGCTGTGTGAAGCACACTTCTATTAATTTATATTTTTGCATTTTATTTATTTTGTGTTTGTGTATTGCTTGGGCATGGGTGTGAGGGTCAGAGGACAACTTTTGGGAGTCGGTTCTCTCCTTCCCCCATGTGGGTCCCAGGGGTTGAACTCGGGTAGTCAGGCTTGGTGGCGGGTGCTTTTGGCCACCAATCCATCTGGCCAGCCCCACTTTCACTGGAGTTTAAAAAGTGCTTTACAGCCAGGCGGTGGTGGCACAATCACACCAACTGTTCAACAGACGAGAAAAGCCAAGAATGATACAGAGAGAGACAGAGAGAGAGAGAGAGAGAGAGAGAGAGAGAGAGAGAGAGAGAGAGAGAGAGAGAACTAAGAATTGGAAAGAGAATTAGCTTTGTATGAGACCACTGTGACTTAGATCTGTGCCTGCTCACACCATCTAGTATATCACAAGGGGAACCCTGTACCCCTCTTATGGGAAAGACCTGTCACCATGTCACTAGTTATTGGGAACACTCTTGTTCCCACAGACTAGAGTCTGCATTGATCCAAACGTCTGGATTTCCCCTCCATCTAATTTGAGCATCCTTTATCTTACCTGAGTAAAACTTATCTCGTTCCCGATCGGCCCTTAGCAGAGTCACGCAATCTTGACTGGCATCCCTGGTATGTGCTTCAGCTTATAAGTCATCCATCCCTTTCTACAGCTTTCCCAGGGCAGATTCCTTTCCCAGCAAACAGGAGTGGCACTGTCAGTTGGGCGCCAAATGTTGTATCGGGGTGGGTTCACGCGGGTTCATGGAAAGAAGACACAGAGGCACTCTAAGGATGAATTTTAGCCTTTTCCAGCTGCGGGGGAATCAGCCTCTGGTGGACTGACTTACAGTAGCTTAGCAAAGGGCCTTTTATTTTACACAGTTCACACCTTTAGCAAGTCAGTTTCCTTATACCAACACCTCTTATCTAAGCCCCCCAAAGAGACAATGCCAATGCAGAGTCTCAGTTAGGAGGCCTCTCAGGAGTCCTCCCCCAACCAAGTTCTGTATAGGTTTTGCACTCTTAAGAAAACTCTTAAGATTTACGTGTTTCAAACTGAAGGTACCTGGATACAAAAGGTAGCAGTCACAAAAGGCAGAAAAAAGCTAGGTGCTGCCGGGCAGTGGCAGCCCACACCTTTAATCCCAGCACATGGGAGGCTGAGGCAGGCGGATCTCTGTGAGTTCGAGGCCAGCCTGGTCTACAGATCGAGTACCAGGACAGGCTCCAAAACTACACAGAGAAACCCTGTTTCTAAAAAATTAAAAAAAAAAAACAAAACTAGGTCTAACACTCCAGAATCAAACTAGCTGCAGCTCTGCAGGAGCTCTCCCTACAGTGTGTGGTTTTTTTGTTTTGGTTTTGGTTTTTTTTTGCTCTGCAATCACAGATGTAGAGGTTTTTTTTGTTGTTATTGTATGCGGTGTGTGCATGTGTATGTTCATATGTGCCCCCTTCCCCCGTGAGTGTGTGTGTGTTTGTGTGTGTGTGTTATGTGTGTGTGTGGTGTGTGTATGAGTGTGTGTGAGTGTGTGTGTGTGAGTATGTGTGTGGTATGTGTGTGTGTGGTGTGTGTGAGTGTGTGTGTGTATGGTATGTGTGAGTGTGTGTGTTGTGTGTGTGTGTGTATGAGTGTGTGTGCAGTATGTGTGTAGAGGCCAGAGTTCAATGACAGGTGTCTTTCTCTATTGCACCCCACCTTACCTTTTAAGACACGGTCTCTCCTTGACCCTGGAGCTTGCTGATTTAGTTAGACTACCTGGCCAGCAAGCCCTTGGGATCCACCTGTCTCTGCCTTCCCAGCACTAGGATTCCAGACGTGCTCCACCGTGCCCAGCTTTTTGTGTGGGTGCTGGAAACCTGAACTCAGGTTCTCATGTTTGTGTGGCAAGAATTTTACCGAGTCGTTAGGCCAGTCCCTGTTGTTTGGTTTACACTTATAATTATGTCTATAAGTGTGTCTATGTGAGGGCATATACACATACATGGAGGCACCCATGGAGGCCAGAAGAGGGCATCTGATCCTCTGGATCTGGAGCTGCAGACAGTTGTGAGCCACCTGACATGGGTGCTGGGAACTGAGTCCTCCAGAAGAGTAGGAAGTACTCTTATCACACCACTTCTCAAACCTCAGTGTTGCTGTTTTTTTTAAACAAGGTCTTATGTAGCTGATGCTGGCCTTGAACTTGCTATGTAGTCAAGGATGACCTTAAACTTCTGTTCATCCTGCCTTTTCCTCCTGAGTTTGAAGATGATGGCCACACAGCCCCACATCTAATTCACTCTGTGCTGGGGATAGAACCTAGGCCTCCTCCGACCCTCAGACGGAGGAGTTCGCCCTTAAGCTGACTTTTATTCCTATGCTTCCATGCTAACAACTCTGAGTCTACATCCTAGAAAGAGGAAAGAGACTAGGGAAAAGACAAAGGACGAAAGGGTATGTGCTGGCTGAGTTGGTTCCTGTAACCAAAGACTTCTGGGTCTAGCTATCTCCCTGGCCAGGACTGGGTAACAGTCATTCTGGCCGCAAGGGAGATAAAGATGCCTTCAAACCAAATGGGTCATCACTATAATTAAACAGGAATTCTGATCATACCCAAAGGAGAGAGTGAAACCCTCACCATCTAATGACACTTTAGGCTAACTCTATACTAAACTGGAATGTAATCAGCAGGCAGTGGGAATCCATTAACATTTTTTTTGAGTGAGAGAGTAACAATGTGGAAAGGATCCGCCCAGCATAATGGTGCACCCCTTTAATCTCAGCACTGGGGAGACAGAGGGAAGCAAATCTCTGTGAGTTCAAGGCCAGCCTGGTTCTACATAGTGGATCCCAAGACAGCCAAAGCTACATAGTGAGACAAGGTCAAACAAACAAACAAACAAACAAACAGAAACTAACAAAAAATGAAAAGAAAGGATTAACACAGAAAAGGATGAGGAGAGGAGAGGCAGGGAGTCAGTGTGACTTGGCACCAAAAGCGGTAACGAAGATTTGGGGTGGGGAGCTGGCAGTGATGTCACTGACATAGAGAGAGCAAAGTAGAGATGGAGCTGCCAGGTGGCGAGAGGGAAGAAACATGCTCTGGGTCAGTGACAATTCTAGTTTGGAGTTCAGGGCGCAGGTCACACCTGAAGGTGTCAGTTTAGAAGTCAACGACTAGGAGAAGACAATAGAAGGGGCAGAAACTGAGATTCCTCATCCTAAGTCAGCAGAATCCTCTGCAGAATCTGCTCCTCTACAGCTCATGGCCCCCACATCCTAGACATGCCCTCCATCCCTGTTCACATGGACCCACATCCTAGACGTGCCCTCCATCCCTGTTCACATGGACCCACATCCTAGACGTGCCCTCCATCCCTGTTCACATGGCCCCCGCATCCTAGACATGCCCTCCATCCCTGTTCTCATGGCCCCCGCATCCTAGACGTGCCTTCCATCCCTGTTCTCATGGCCCCCGCATCCTAGACGTGCCTTCCATCCCTGTTCTCATGGCCCCCGCATCCTAGACGTGCCTTCCATCCCTGTTCTCATGGCCCCTGCATCCTAGACGTGCCTTCCATCCCTGTTCTCATGGCCCCCGCATCCTAGACGTGCCTTCCATCCCTGTTCACATGGTCCCAGCATCCTAGACAAACCCTCCATCCCTGTTCACATGGCCCCAGAGTCCTAGACATGCCCTCCATCCCTGTTCACATTCCCCAGAGTCCTAGAAATGCCCTCCATCCCTGTTCACATGGCCCCAGAGTCCTAGACATGCCCTCCATCCCTGTTCACATGGCCCCAGCGTCCTAGACATGCCCTCCATCCCTGTTCACATAGCCCCAGAGTCCTAGACATGCCCTCCATCCCTGTTCACATGGTCCCAGCATCCTAGACGTGCCCTCCATCCCTGTTCACATGGTCCCAGCATCCTAGACAAACCTTCCATCCCTGTTCACATAGCCCCAGAGTCCTAGACATGCCCTCCAGCCCTGTTCACATGGCCCCAGAGTCCTAGACATGCTCTCCATCCCTGTTCTCATGGCCCCAGAGTCCTAGACATGCCCTCCATCCCTGTTCACATGGTCCCAGCATCCTAGACATGCCCTCCATCCCTGTTCACATGGCCCCAGAGTCCTAGACGTGCCCTCCATCCCTGTTCACATGGTCCCAGCATCCTAGACATGCCCTCCATCCCTGTTCACATGGCCCCAGAGTCCTAGACATGCCCTCCATCCCTGTTCCCATGGTCCCAGCATCCTAGACATGCCCTCCATCCCTGTTCACATGGCCCCAGAGTCCTAGACATGCCCTCCATCCCTGTTCACATGGCCCCAGAGTCCTAGACATGCCCTCCATCCCTGTTCACATGGTCCCAGCATCCTAGACATGCCCTCCATCCCTGTTCACATGGTCCCAGCATCTTAGACATGCCCTCCATCCCTACTCACATTGTGCTCTCCATAGCTTCTCTACTGAATCTCTCTGTGTGGCTAATAGGTCCCAGATCTTCATCTTCTGCCATTGCCCTTGTCCAGCTCCATCACATCCAACCTGACTTGCAGCCAGGCTCTGCAGCTGGCCTCTTGCTCTGTAACTGCCACCCCACTACCTGTTTTGGAAAGAGAAACTGAACTGAGTTTCCATGCTAGCGATTTAACCTGTCTTTTCCCCAGTGCTGTCTGCGGCTTCTGCTCTGCATTGCCTTCCCTAGTCAAGGTCACAGACTCCAGCATCAGCTGCATTTCTCTCCCTGTCCCTTATAGCTGACACCCAACCCCAGATGGGCTGATGCCTTCCCTCTATCTCCATGCCTTCACAGGCCCTTCCTGCTCCCGCGTTACTTTGGCCTTCTCTCAATGCACCTGGCCTGGCAGCAGTCTGCCATGTGGTTCTAGTCTTCTCCCAGTGACCCAGCCTCTGACTGCCCTGCCCTGTCTGGCCTTCCCACCAGGGGGCAGGAGTGGATTCCTGGTCACAGTCGTCTTTTGTTGGCTGTTGCCAATCCTCCTGTTTAAGTTATTCCTCCCTGAAATACTATTGGAACTTAGAATGGGTCAGCTCACCTGGCTGGGTCCTGCCTGATACAGTACCCTCCATCCCTCCATCATCATACACCTACTACCCGGGATGACTCAAGGTCTCATCTGAAGTGATTTAGATTCTGCCAGTCACTAGAGGAAAAAAAAAAAAAAAAAAAAAAAAGCTCTAGGGCAGGGACCATCTAGAGCCTCAGCGCTCATCTCCCAGCCTGACCCGTCGGTGCTCAGCACATCACACTGTGCAGCACAAGGAGACAGGAACTGAGAAGAGGCATTTAGCAGGAGCCAAGTCAGTGTGTGGTCACAGAGAGAAGGGGAGGCAGGCAGAAACCATACTGTGAGGAGCACATGCAAATGGAAGACACCGGGAAACAGTGTACCCAAAAGCCAGGATGGGGAAGGTGTTGTTTTGTTGGTTGGTTATTTAGGCTAGGAGCTTGGTCACATTCATGGGTTGAAAGGAGCAAGACATTTTACGGCAGGAGATGCTGGGGCATTGGCTGTGGAAAGGTGTGACCTAAGTGGCTTCACATGAGAATTAAAGCCACCAGAAGGGTCAGGGACGGTATGGATTTTTTTTAATAACACAACAGATTTATTTTTATTTTATGTGCATTGGAATTTTGCCATGAGAGTTGAGTCCTCTGGAACTGGAGTTACAGACAGGTGTGAGTTGCTATGTGGGTGCTCGGAATTGAACCCAGGTCCTCTGGAAGAGCAGGCAATATTCTTAACCAGTGAGGCATCTCTCCAGCCCGTTTTTTTGTTTGTTTGTTTTGTTTTTGTTTGTTTGTTTTTTGTTTTTGTTTTTGAGATAGCATCCCACGTAGCCCTTGAACTCCCTATATAGCCAAGGATGACCTTGAACTTCTGATCTTCTTGCCTCTACTTTCTGAGTGCTGGGATTGCAGGCCATGCCATCATTCCTGGTTTATATGGACTGGTGCTGGGGCCTGAGCCCATGGCTTCATGTCTGCTAAGCAAGCCCTCTACCTACCGAGTCACATCTTCAGATGCTTTGGGAACTGGAGGCAGAGAGGTGAGTTAGAAGGGGAAAATCAATCAAGAACTGAGAAGAATGCCAGTCAAGCCAGGGATCCCTATGATGGCACCAAAGTCAGAGAGGGGCTCTCAGGAAGGTATGTCCAGGCCTGATCTTGGTAAGGGAACGTCCAGTGCCTGTCGGAGACCCCCATTCATACAGCTCCAACCTTTGCCAAGACTCGAACCTCCTCTCCCCTGCCAGTTCTGTAATTTATGGTGCCCCTTTCATCATCCAGTATGTGATGAGATGGTCCAGCTGGCAGAGACCAGTAGCAGCAGGCAGCAGTATGCTGGAGAAAGTCTAACAACTAGTTTGGATGTGTGTGTGTGTGTGTGTGTGTGTGTGCGCGCGCGCGCGCGCGCGCTCAGGTTTATGCTACTTGCCAATTTCTATGGTGTAAATAGTCCCACTTTAAGCTACCAACATGAGGTCACAGTGGGAAAGAACAGGGACTGTATCTATGTATCTGTTTCCTCTACTGCTGCCCCATCTCCACCTAGATGTCTGGGCTGAAGGCAGGGATGGGGCAGGTCCAAACTGGGGACCAGCAAAAACCTCATGGCGACATCACAGGCAGGTCCCTAGTGGGAGGAGGCATAACTTCTCTGGGAATGTCTGCCCCTAGGCCTAGGGCCTCTCTCAAGCCATCCTCACAGCAGCCTTCGCCTGGACTCGATTTCACAGGAATGTGGGCCCAAGACCCACAGGCGTCAGACGGTTTGCCCAACACCTGCTCACTAGACATGGCCTGGTACCGTAAACGTGCCAAGGCCAGCAGAGTTTCCCTTCTCCAGGGCAAACAGAAAAGGACAAATGACCCAAAGACGGCATTGGCTCACCACTGCACCCAGTTCCACAGAACTGAGGGGGGCAGTTGCTCCTTGAAAAGTCTGTGGAGTTCTGCCTGCAGGGGGTGTTACATACTGTGTTGTTTGGATCCTGGGTCGTCTGGTACAGTAAAGTGACCCTGAGCAAGTCACTTCTCTCCAGGCTTCAGTTTGTTCAGCCATAGGATGAGGACAGTAATGACAGGACAGGGGGTCTCAAGTAGGGACAACCGCTTCTCCTGAGGATGGTGAGTAACATCAAGAGACCTTTTTGTTGTCACACAAGGTATAGGAGCATGTTTTCCTAACCTAGCAGACTCTGTCAGGCATGCTCTTAAGTATCCTGCAGTAACAAGGTGACAGGGCTGCCCGATCAGTGACAATGAATTATCCAATACAAAACATCAAGACTGAGGTTATCCAATGAGGTTCTGCACACAGCACAATTAGTGGACGGGAAGACAGGGTCTTATGTAGCCCAGGCTGGCCTCAAACACGCTCTGGAGGTGAAGATGGCATTGAACTCCTAATCCTCCTGCTTCCAGTCCCCAGTGCTGGGATTACAGCCATATGCCACTATACCTAGCTGGTTTATGATCTTAATCAAAGCCAGAAGCTGAACAAGTGAGAGCCAAGTACAATGACACATACATGTGAAAATGCTATGATGGAATCCATTCCTTTGCATGCTAACTTTAAGAATGCTTTTTAAAGAAAGAGAAATGTAAACAAACAACGCAGAGGCTGAGCTAGGAATAGAAGCCCTGCCTGTAATCCCAGTACGGGGGAGGTGAAAATGCAAAGAAGTTTGAGGCCAGCAGGGGCTCAGTAATGAGTTACAGGTCACAGAGACCTTATCTGGGGGGTGGAGAAAGAAGGAAAGAAAAGGGACCAGGAATGGAGCTCCGCGCTAGAGTGCTCGCCCAGGGTATGCAAGGCCCTGGGTTTGGACCCTCGGATCTGAAAACCAAACAGACCCTGCTTTGCTCTCAGCCTGGCACAGTCTTACCCTTGCGTCTCCAAACCTGAAATAGATGGGATGTGAAACCCCGAGTACGGAGCCCAACACTGCCCCAGGTGTGAGTCACCCTGTAAATGTCAATTATTTTATTTAAAGCCCAGCTGAAGCTGCATGAGTGACTCAAGGCTAGAAGCCTGCCCAGACCATCATGACTTATTAGACCAGGAGGAAGTCGCTTTTGCCTGAATCTCTCCTAGGGGGTAGGTATTTCAAGATTCAGAGGCACCCCAGCGGGCACTGGGAGAGGGGCTGAGGGGCATTTGCATCTCTCCTCACCCACTGTGGGAAGAGACAGGAGAAAAGCAGCTGAGACTGAGAAGCCCTGTTTTTCCCTAGCGCTTTCCTTGCTAATCAGTCTAGTGGTGTGTTCTCTCTCCCCTGCAAGCTGACCTTCTACGGAGCTTTGAGTCACTCACTAATACACCCTAGTACTGGAGTGTAGGTTTAAAGACCGATCATCGTGATGGAGGAGGCAATGCCTGGGAGGGAACCAGGACCACAGGAACACTGGCTGTCCTAAGGAAGGAAAGGTGAGGGGAGATGGAAAAGAGAGCCAGCCCTGCAGGGAGCAACTCCAGAATCTGGGCCTGTTGCCCACAGCTTTCCTGAGAAGTGCTTTGCCCAGAGGCAAACAGGTGGTGGGCGGGAAATGACAGACACCCAAGACCTGATACCAACCTGTACATCTGGCCCGGCTCTGCCTCTCTCTGAGTCACTGAAATGCCCAACCCTGGTATAGCAGGAGCTTTTCAGAAGCCCCCAGTCCAGCTTTTTTTCTTGCCTTACCGTCTCTCAGCTGGTCACCGGCAGAGCCAAGATAGGTCCCAGAGACTGTCTTGACTCTGAAGTATAGGCTTCATGAAAGTCACAGCCCGAAATGCTTCTAGGGGGCGACACTTGCCATGATTGAGAATAAGACAACATGGGCTAGGGCTGTGAGCAGCTGCAGGCTTTGCTCTAACATTTTCTGGTCCTGGGTTGGGGAGTTGGGGTGGAGTGGGGGTGGAGTGGGGGTGGGGGAGTGAGCCTCTTGGGTTGTAGGCTGTTTTGTTTTCATACAGAAGTCTGGCTACAGAGCCCAAACTGGTCTCAAACCTGTCATCCTCCTGCCTCAGCCTCCTGAATGCAGGCCAGATTGTGGGATTTCCACACCGTCAAATGAATGGCCTTTCCTGGTGTCCAACAGATGTCTGCTTGGACTCATCTCCAGAAAGAAGTAGGTCTGCAAAGTGGTCACAAGCAGACAGTGGCCTGGCCCTGGCTCAAACCTTTCCAGACAGGAGGCTCCTTATTTCTCAAGCCAGTCTCTAAGAGTCCTAGAGGAGTCCCAACAGTCGCAACACTTCTTTCATTCTGGAAACTCTAAAAAACAAAATGCGATTTTTTATTACCACTAAATAGAAGCTTGTTGTACAGTAGAAAGCCCATTAGCAAAGTCAGAAAAGGGGGGGGGGGAAATCCATACATTCCCTATACTCCCTCTTGCCCCCATCAAAAGGGCACGTTTTCAAACCGGGTCTTTCTGGCTCTGTAGTCTAGGATGGATCCTGTGCGCAGCACTCACACCACGCAGCTTCTCCTGGGGTGGAATGAGATTGTACCATGCCATCTGCAGGCTCCCTTAGACCTGTGTTTCAACACTAGGCCTGTCTTACGTGGGTCTTTGGCTCCCCATGCTTCTAGAAGGCAAGCCCAGTAACCTCATCTTCAGACACTTTACAGCACCAGGCACACACTAAGTGCTCCATAAATGTATTTCTAGCCCCACCGGGATCCCACAAAGCAACAACTCCCTCAAGTAAAAAGGAAGAGGAATCCAAGACCTTGGAGATGGAGCGCCTCTCCATCTCCAAGGTAACCAAAGCCGAAGTTGGGAATGCCCACGCATGCGTACAGTCGCCCTTCCTTCCCGTAACCTCAAAAAGAATGCAACCCGTAAAAAGATTTGCCAGAAGCCGAGAGCGCATGTGTAGTTCCACCAACACCCTGGCCTCCTCCGCCTACTGCCCGCCGGCCCACCCAGCCATCGCCTCTAGCAACCCTGACCGGAAACAGTATCCATTTTGGGAGAGGTCGTGATAGCCAATCGTTGCTGGAGAGCGGATGGCAGGCCGGCCGGGAGGAGACGCCTTATTGGCTTACTTGTGGGAGTGGGCGGGATCAAGGGTCGCGGTGCGGCCAAAGAAAGGAGGCGGGAAGCTCGCAAAATCGCAGCCACGGGGAGAGGCGTGGCCCTGGGCGGGGCTAGACGTGGGGGCGTGGTCGGGGAGGAGCGGCTGGGGCCCCGAGCGATCGCTGGCCAGCGAAGCGCCACACTCGCTGGGTTGAGGAGAACGGCGCTCAGCCGGTAGGTGACTGGGCAGAGTCCCGAGACCTAAAGCGGGTCGCTGAGGGCTCGAGCGGGCGGGGCCGGGGCGCTTCTGAGGCCGGGGCCGGCTTGCGGCCTTGCTCTCCGCGAGGGCTGGCTGGGATGGGTGGCCGGGTGTCTGCGGTCTAACCAGCTCGCACGCGCCGCGCCACCAGCGCCACGCTCGCTACGCCGTGCTCGCCCTGGAGCTTCCAGGCCGCGCACCCACGGGTCACACGCTCGACCGGATCGCGCGCGGGGACTGCCTTCTTCCCCTTCCCCAACATCCGCCCCACTACCAGCCCCGGCTGCGAGGTGCCCCCCCAAGAGAAGGAGATTGCTCCACCGCCCTAGCCGTGAAATGTACTGTCTTTCCCTCTGAAGTGCTTGGGGTCACTTGTGCTCGGAGCGGGAGCAGAGACTGCCCTGGACACTCCGCAGGGCAGTGCTAGTCGCCCACAGTATCCTCCCATTTCGATGATCCCGACCCTTCTGTGTGATTCTGTGTTCTACTTTTGGTGTCTGTTTATATGTACTAGTCCCATCTTGGAAGCTCACCGTGGCTCTGGCAACTTGCAGCCACCTGTCACCAAGTAAAAAGAAACATTTGTCGGCGGCAGCGATTCCCACCTGCTTAGGAGCCTCTTCCGTGTTTATTAACTTCAGAAAAAAATCTTCCCCCACCCCTCCGTGTTCATTCACTTAAGAAAAAGCCTCCCCTGCGCCTCTAAGTTGAGATTAAAAGATGGCTCTCAGCACTAAAGGATGGATAGTGGTGTGCATGGGTTGTAAAGGAGAGGATGAGTGAAGAAAAGTTTCAAAACTCAGTGTATTGATGACTTCTTGTTGTTGTTGTTGTTGTTAATTGGAGACAATGAACACTAATGACTTGGTTAAGAGTGAATGAAATTAAACAATGAGAGTGGCACCGTGACCAGTGAACTTTGGACCACTGGCACTGTGGCTAGAAACATAGTCTTACTGAACCATGAGAGGATCCTAACATTAGTGATGCAGGCTTTTGCTTAGTAACTTTCCCCTTTGAGGGGTCGGTGTGGTAAGATGGACAGAGTATTATTCAGGTGATAAGTGAAGTACCTGAACTAGGTGTGGGGGATGAGGGCGCACATACCTTGTCTGAGGCCTCAAAGCCGTGACCAAGGGTGAGTTCTCAGATCTCTGAATTAAGTCTGCATAAGATAACCATGATAGAGAAAAGGGGGAGGAAGGTCTGGAGTAATATTTTTTGCTCTTAACATGAAAGGATGGCTTTGAAGGTTCTGGACTTGCTTATGATGTGTGTGGATTTTCTCTTGTGTCTGAAGTGATGTCAAAGGCAATTCCTTTGGATCGATGCCAGCTTTCTGAGTCTTTTCAAAGGCCTATAAAACATCTTGAAAGCTAGGCATGGTGGCACACACCTGTAATCCCATCACTGGGGAGGCTAAGGCAGGAGGATTACTGTAACTTTGGAGGCAGTGAGGGCTTCATAGCAAGATCCTGTCTCAGAGCACCGGAAAGAAAGAAAGAAGACATCCTGATTTATTTGGAAGAGTGTGGTGAATTTCTCAGAAGATCTCATAATAATAGTTAATATGTCTGACTTTAATTTTAGAAATCAGTACCTGGCTGTACATACCCAGAAATGCATCCCAGCAGTTTGTGAAATTAAACAGTTCTTGGGCTTTAGGTCATTTTGTGATTGTCCCTGGGTAGAAGGAGCAGTTCTGAGGGGTTTCTGGTGTCTGTTAGAGTTTGTGGGAGTGCACCACAGAGCCCCTGCCAAATGAACCTTCCTCTATTAAACAAAACCGTCTGGTTTTGCTCCTCAGCCTCGGCAGATAGACGTTTGGTTCCTCATTTTGGTTCTGATGAACACTGATTCCTTTGTGATCTGCTTGGAGTGTTTGTGTGAGAGAGGACAGGACTCACCCTGATTGGTTGTCCAGCCCTAGGCAACTGTTAGGAGGTTTTTGTTTTTTTTGGTGAGTGAGAAGGTTCATCACTAGCTAGGGGCTGGTAGGAGATTGGAAGGTTGTACAGTAGATAAAAGCTTAAATCCGGGCATGTTTGTTTAGGCCATTTTGCCCCCTCTTAAGACTTTTATGTTATCACCTTGGCCTGTGAAGTCACTTTTAGGCTCCTTTTTTTCCCCCCCGTCTCAGTGGACAGCACATGGACTTCTCCCAACAGGTGCTTCTGCCCTGGGAAGAACTCACACGTTCATCCTGGGTGGCTTGACAGATGTTCTTTCTGGGGAGAAAGAAGAAATCTGAAAACTAAGTTCCATCCAAGTGAAAGGTTAGCTTGCTTCACATGCAAGCAGCAGACATTTCTACCGATGGCTTCCATCATCTCAATGCTTTTTTTTTTTTCCTGGCAAAAGGTTAAAATGCAAGTAAAATTCTGCTTTCATGATTAATAAGTCACTACCGCAGTTGTGTTTGATGCTTCCTGTTTGCCCCATTTTAGTATTTCAGTTAAACTGGAGGCATCTGAGCACTCTGGGCACTTTTGATGGCACCAGCATCCAAGTGGGTGTGGAGAGGGGCAGTATGGAGAGTGGATCTGGGGAGCTCTAGGGATAAGTCAGCCCACTGCACACCAGAATCCCGAATAAGGGAAAGGAATGGAGTGGAGTGTCTTCACGGGTAGGGTGAGCATTTCAAGTGTGAACACCCTGCGTTCACTTGGTGTTGCTGACTGCAGAGGTACAGCTGTGGGGCAGAGCGGGAAAGCCAAGTGGAAGGCAGGCAGCAGAGGAGAACGTTTGGCACTTCTGTGCAGGGTACTGAGGTAGCGTCCTGAGTTCTGAGCTTCTCTCAACTGCCTGAATGACAGGATAAGGGAGCTTTCCTCGGAGGCCTGAGTGTTCTTTTACTCATGTTTAAATTGAGGCCCCTTCCCCTCTTCCTGTTTTGGAGTCTTCCATCTTGAGCTCCCTGGTAGAAATCCTTTGGAATTATGTGTGTAGGGAATAATTTTGCAGACAGCCTTTCTATTTTCTTACAGTATAGAGGTAAAGATCTTTAAAATGAGGACTAAATAAAACAGACAATAATCCTTAGGAATTTGGTGTCATGGTTAGAATCTAAACTGACTTTCCTTGGCATACACTTGATCATTTTACACTACTCACTTGCTGAAGGATGATAAGCCCCTCTCCCGAAAAAGTCAATTCTGAATGTCATTAAACCAGGGGCTTCTTAATTGTTATCGCTGTTTAGTGGTTGTTGATACTGATCGTTATTAAAAGCCTGCCATCTGAACAAGTCTGCCTATGCTCATTTCACAGATGTAAAAACTAAGGCAGAAGGCGCAAGTGATCTGTCCAGGGATAGAGCCTGTCCATAGTGCCACCACACCCACTGTGGCGTTTATGTTGTCAAACAGACCTGGGTCAGGGCCTGGTCTGCCTGTGGCTGTCTGTCTGTCTGTGTGCCCTCGAGCAAATGGCTTCACTTCTGTGAGCGTGGAGTGCCTCGCCTGCAAATGGTACCAGAAATGTTTCATGGGGCTGTTTCAAGTAGAAGACAGGAGAGGATTTGTATGCTGGGCTGAGCACAATGGCTGTCGCTGCTCTTGGTCATTGTGATGGCAGTAGCAGCAGCAGATGACTGCATTGTGACTAGATCTGTCCTCTGTAAGATGATGTGAAGAAACACTGGAGTGCCCGACAGGCCAGTCGTTTTCTTCAGCAGGCCCTCCAAGGACTGCTTCCCTAGCCTGGATGGGTTAGCTGTCCCGTCTTCCCAGTCTTAAAACAAAACACACTATTGTATTCATTCATTGTGTGTGCACACGTGTGTATCACAGCACACCTGTGGAGGTCAGAGGACAGTGTGCAGGAGTCACTTCTCTCCTTCCACCGTGTGGGTTCCAGAGAGCAAAGTCAGGTCTTCAGGCTGGGCTGCAAGCATGTCTACTCACTGAGCCATCTTGCCAGCCCCAGGTTCCCTCAGGTTTACTGTACATCCTTCCCTTGCAGTACTTCAGATAAGCCTAAAAAGACTTAGCATCTGTCCAGTCAGAGTGTGTAGTCCTAAATAGGGGCTACCTGCATGTCTCTCAGGACTCCGATGCAAACAGAACGGGGTCTCTCTGAGAGTTCTTCATCTCCCCCCCCCCTTCCCCATCCTCCATGTGGTTTAGTGGGTCCCAGCATTAACCTGGGCTGAGAAAGAGAGTACCCAGAATAGAAGCCACTGAGGACTTATTCTTTGTTTGGGGGACAAGGAGGCTACATTTGTTTGCCCGGGGCGGGGGGGTATGGTTTCCGTCAGCACATGGCACCCTTGCTCTTCTCCCTTAAAACTGCCTATCTCCATAGCCAGGTCTGGGGGCCCTGGATTTACAGTCAAGGATGTGCAGGTTCTGCTTCAGATATCATGGGTTGGGGGCGGGGGATTAAATTCCTTTCTCCTTAATACAAACAAAAAGACTGCCTCCCACCACACTGCCATTCTGTCTAAATACATTTGTTTTCTCTTGGGGAAGCTGTCTTGAGAGGCGAAGAGTCATTTCTAAAGCAAGCCTAGTTTTTAGAAAAACGAAATCACCGGATGTCAAGCCTCGTGAGGAGCTTGCTCAGGTGAAAATGAAAGCAGCCGCCTGCCCAGGGTGGCATTTGCCTTCGCGGCTGGAGGTGAAGGCAGAGCGTCTGGACCCCACTCAGTCGCTGGCCAGCCCCACAGCCTGTGTCTGACAGGTGCCTTAGTCACCTTTCAAGCAGCTTTGTTTAGGTGAGGGGAGTACTTTCTCTGGAAGGTGAGTCACTCGCGCAGGGGTGTAGGTAACAGGCCATCTGTTCCCCGGCCCAGTTGCAGAGGAAGTCCCGAGCAGACCTTGTTGAAAAGCCCTCTGCCAAAGATCACCCTCATTCCAGCCCAAGGGCTAAGATTCAGGAGCAGGAAGCCGATGGGAGGCTCCTAATGCTTGCTGACTGACAGACCCATCCCCTGGTGGGTCATGTGGACAGGGCACAGAGCCCAGGTCAGCAA